GAAGCGTCCAGAATCCAGAAGCTGGCTGCTCCAACGGCCAGTATGGCCCACAGTCTGGCACAGAGCCCACAGTCTAGCAAGTGCGAACTTTTCTTTCGGGCCCAGAAAAGCAAGTTCCACACCTTCGGTGGTCCCAGGCGCCGCCCCTGCCTTCGCCAAAGCAGGGGTCGGCGGATAATGTGTTTCTGAAACGAAGTAGATGCGTAGGGATGTTGCTAAGATGGTTTGTGCAGACCGACTAAGGACTGTCCCTATATGGATCCGCATACCGAGGTTTCTGGTTTTGGTAGGGATGATGTGGGCGACCCAATATATACCAAGCCTGAAAGGACACCTTTGGGAGCAGTGGATCCCATCTGTGGTGGATCGATCGATAGGTGCGATTTTTGGAGCTGAAAGGGACACGGAGCCGTTGGGGAGCCGTCGCCACACGCCAGAGCTGAGCTGCTGAGCTGTTCGCGTCGACCACGCGGCCGCATGCCACCGCATGCCACCGCCATGGTCGCACAGCAGCTTCCGGGGGAAGGACGTTATGCCGCACGTGACTTTAGCTTTGATGTTTGACGTGACATCCGCAGCTTTTCAGGTTTGACAGCTTAGCTTAGAAGCCGACAGCTTCAAGGTTTCAACAGCTTCAGGTTCAACGGTTCTTTTCCGACACCGTTTCAACGGTCGATGTCTATCGCTCGACGCCCCAGAAGCCTCTGCGGGGTGTGTGGATCCTTTCATCCGGCCGAAGGAAACAGGAAGTAAACACCCAAAGAACCACACACAAAAAAGAACAACCGAATTGGTTGATTTTTCTTTTTGGGCCTGTTTCTTCTTCGCCGTAGCTTTCTGATCTGGTGCTGGGGACGTTTTTGATGTTTTTGCGGACGGACTTCTTTTTCATATCCAGTGGAGTAGATTCTGGAAGCCTTGAAGCTGATTGACGCGGCCATTGAAGTGCTTGAGGATCAAGTGCAGCCATGGAGGTGTCCTTTCGACAGCTGAATGGCGAAGCGATGGTTCTTGAAGTCATGCCAGAAATGACTGGTCGGGAACTCAAGGAGCGGATCAAGGACCGCCAGCTTTGGGATGATGAACTCACGCGTAAGACGACCCGGGTGGACATTCTCGTGGGGCCGAGCAGATTGCTGACGAACGACGAGACAGCTGCAGATGCAGGCCTTTCTCCAGAATCAGATGTGACCGTCATTCTGAGACGCAACATTGTGACGTGCTCCCACAAAAGGGAGCTTGTCCAGTTTGGCGATGAGATTGACTTCACGTCTTTATTCGCAGTTCAAATCCCAAGCGGTGCAACTGAAGTTGTTGGCCACGCATTTGAGGATTGCAGAACTCTAGCAAGTGTGATCATCCCCGACTCAGTGACCAAGATATGTCAGTTTGCGTTTGATGGGTGCACGTCGTTGGAAACAGTGCCAATCCCCGACTCAGTCTCCGCGATTGACTTTAGAGCCTTTGCAGGATGCACTTCTTTAACAAGTGTGACCATCCCCGACTCGGTGACTCATATTGAGGGCGAGGCCTTTTTTGGCTGCCATGCTTTGACTGTGCTTCTTTCAAATTCTCGAACCTGGACGGGGTGTGAGACCTTCAGTTTCTGCAAACGGGTTCGGGTTCTGGCAAAGGAATCAAAAGACACTGGCTGCAAACGGATTCAGGCTGTTCTGGCAAAAGAATGTGAATGTCAAGAGTGCGAGTACTGGTGGTTTCAGAATGGCTGGGTGTGTCCGAAACAACGGTGGCGATCTTCACATCGCAGCCGTGGCCGCCGTCGCTGAGAGCCTTAGTGAAGCAAACTTGCTGCAAATCATGACAAAGAACGAAGTGCCTTCATGATTGGTCGACCTTTGACGCAAGTTGGAGCATTTCACCTTCTGTCCAACCTTCTGTTTCACCTTTCACTCGAAGGGCCAAACTCTGCCAAAGACAGTGGCCGATCTCGTCGACAGACCAAACCATAGGACACTTATAGGTCCCTCACTCGAAGTGAGGCAGGCGAAGTGTCACATTCTGAACAGTGGGAAATAGGTCGCTGGAGCTTCCCCCTTCACGGACCGACTGAGAAGTATCATATGTAGTTCTTCACATGTCCGAATCGGCTGTTCCCACCCTTCGACTCACCTTCCAGTTCGCCTCAACAGGCCACTGCGAGGATTCTCCGCGGCAGTTCGCAGCGACTCGGCAAGGAGAGCGACTCGGGGGGGGCGGGGCCATCACAGCAAGAAGCCATCTTGTTTTGGTGGTCAATAGCTTGGAAGTATATATATATATATATATATAGATCTTGACATGTCCCAATCGGCTTTATAGTTTTTGATGGTAAGTATAATAGCTTGGTTGGGGGTTGCAATAGGCTGACAGCGGATTTCCAGGTCTGAAGACACTGAAGCCGACAAGGCGAGCTCAGCCACTCATACGATGCAAAGCGACGCGACTTCGGCGGTTCGTAGGGTTCAATGACTCACGCGATCCCGGTCTGGTAGGTGGTGGTAGGCGGTGGTCATGACTTGGAGGTTGAGGTGGATTTTTCAAGTGAGTTAGACAAAACAAGTTCTGAGCTTCACTTTAAGTGTCGACTTGTGTCAAGTGAGTCACCTCTTTTTTTCAGGTTCTTGTTCACTTTTTGAGGACATCATGACATCCAAAGAACACCTGGAACCCCACAATCAGAGCTGAAACCTGGAACTAAGGGTGCCAGAGAGATGTTTTCTTGGAATGGTTTGTGGCTTGACCCAATTCGTCTCTTCTTGACCCAAGAAGCTGGTCACGGCGACGCCGTGCTCGCCGTCCGGCGCGTTCTCGCCGCCGATCGTCGTCTGACACACACATCACCAATCCGGGGGGGTCCCCGAGCCCCGAAAAGGTTTCGGTGGAACCCCGAAACTCCGGGAAAAGGTTTCGGAATTTCCTCAGATGGTCAGATGGTGTCGGTTTGTCACGCTGAAGCCGCTTTTCGTGGAGCGGATCCTCGTGTTGCACCGATGCTCGCCTCCAGGGATCCACGGATCTGGGAGCTGTGAGGCCGGCGCGGTGGAGAGGGAGTCTTTTTCCACGTAAGGAAGCAAGAGCACACTTGAAGAGACTATTATCCCAAGGTCAGTTTCCAGGATGGATGTTCGTGGAACGATTTTCTCGATGTCGGTCGATGAACTTGGGTCGTGTTTGACCTTTTTGTTCTCAAGCGCGAGCGCGCGCTCACATGCCGACAGCGTGCGCCACGTGCTCGAGGGTTTGGTTTTTAGAAGAAGGTGGCAGCTGCAAGGGCTGCAATTTGCTGAGGAAGTTGGGGCAGGAGCTTCGATTTCAACCACATTCGAAGCTTGAAGCGAGGATAGCAATAAGCTGGCTAGAATCAGCTTTGAGAGGACTGGAGGTGCTTCGAGATTCCTCCCACTTCCAAAGTGAGGATACTCGATCCAATCTGGGGTTGAAGACCTGCCCACAACCTCCAAGCAGCGTTGCAAGGGCTTCCGCTGACTCAGGTACCGTCCACTCTCGAGCAAGTGGCGAGACGCGGCGAGACAGCGACGAGGTGAGGAGAGAGGCTGCAGGAGAAGAGGGGAGAGGAGGTGCAGCCGTGGAGAGGCCGCGGCGTGAGAGAAGACGTGAGCGCGAGGACCGTGAGAGAGATGGCAAGCGAAGGAGAAGGGGCTAGAAGGGTTGACGAGTCGGCCGGATCGTTCGACATCAGTGACCGCGATCGATGGCTCATGATGGGGGTGTTTCCTGGCCGGGTCATCATATGTCCGACAGAGATAGGAAAGAAGGTTGTCGATTGCCCCTACTTCGTGAAGGCCCACTCCGTGCTTCCAGACGGCAGCTTATCGGTGGAAGTCGTTTCGCTCGGGACTACGAACTCCAAAGAATCGAGGGCTTTGACATCCATGAACAAACACCTGACCCACGGTCACATCTGTCAAGACATACCTTGTATGGCAGGTGGGAGTTACCTCTTCCATGCACAGAGGTTGGAGGTCATCCATGGGCCGGACCTACCTGCCAGTTCATTAGGTTCGACAGGCTACAAAAGGTGGGCTTCGTTGTGTCAAGAAGTTTTAGGTGTGATCGTAGGCGGGCGAGAATGTGGCCGAAGAGGAGGTTGCATTGGTAGAGAAGGTTGGAGGACGACCCAGTGCCCTTCGTTCCGGCCGAGATCCCGACGCCTCAGGTCATGCCAGAAGAGCCGTCATCGTTGGAGAAGGGGGCGACGAGGACGACGAGCAACGAGGAGGAGATCAGAGGAAGAAGGTGAGGCGCGTGGCAGAGGATGCAGAAGGAGGAGAAGAGGTCAAAGGCCGAGGTCGAGTTGCAGAGGCTTTGAGCGATCTTCGACAGAAGTTGAAGGAGAGCATGAGAGGGCCTGGCCAAGAGGAGGAGGTTGCAGCTGGCTCCAAAGGGTCCAGGAAAGCCGCCGCTTCATCACTTGCAGTGGCCGCCAAGAAGAGAGATGGTCCGAAGAACCTGACATTTGGGGTCGAGAAACCGGCCACGGAGGTTCAGGAGTTGTTGAAGGCTGGATTGGAGGAGCCAAGAGAAGGTACATCGAGCAGCAAGAGGACGGGTTCGCCCAGCAAGGCATTGATTGCAGCAGCCAGCCAAGCCGCAGCCAGCAGCGGAGGAGGAGGCGAGAAGAAGAAGAAGAAGAAAAAGAAACGAGGCGCCGAGCGAGTCCTTCAGGCTTTAAAGCTCGCTTTGAGGCCCAAGAAGGGGAAGAAAGAAAAGAAAAAGAAGAGGAAGAGGAAAGAGAAGAGCGACGGGGACCCTTCAGAGGATGGAGACAGCTCGGGTGGCTCATCAGACGAGGAGGACGAGGACGAGGAGAGCAGCAGCTATTCCACGGACGAGGAGAGCAGCGAGGAGAAGAAGGCGCGTCGACTGCAGGCACCATTGAAGAGACGCAGTCAGAAGAAAAAGGGGAGTGTCATTTCGCTCCTCTTGGAACAGATTGCAGAGCAGTTGCAGGATTTGTCGACCCCACACGAGGACCTTCTGACGAGTGGCCCGAAGGTGGGGACATATTGGCAGATCACTTTGAAGCACCGCTACACCAATGGCCATCCAGCACTGAGGGAACTCTTCCTGCTTGCCTCAGTGATCGACAGGATCAGAGGTGGCCAGCTCCTAGAGGCGCTGGACGCATTGGCCGGTCGCTTCATTGCGGTGGAGGCGGCAACCCACGACGGGTGGCAGGTGGCACGTCACCTGGAGGTGGCAGTGCCTTCGGAACAGGCTATAGCACCAGCCGAACTTCAGTTGGCCGCCAGGAGACACAACAACTTGATCTCGAAGGCCCAGGGGTTCGAAGGAAAAGGAAAGTGGAGGTACCCTGCAGGAGGCCGAGGTTGGGGTTCTGGCGGAAGTTCCAAGGACGAAGGCAAAGGAAGGGCGAGACGGAGAACGACAAAGGCGAGGAGTGAGGGAGGAGCAGTGCAAGAGGAGAATTCAGAGGAGGGAGTCAATGAGCTCCACTATGTCACACGGCCCCATTCTCAGTGCAGTGCAGCCTACAGAGTTACATGCTTCGCAGCAGGAGGATGAAGGGACAGACTATGTGACAACTAGAATTCAACGCACAGAGCCCGAGACTCGAGAGGAGCGCACGGGTGTGCATGCGAAAAATGAAACTATAACAGAAGGCACAGGTGAGGAGAGCAAGGAGAAGAGGCAGAGTGCAGAAGAAGGTGAGAGCAGAAGGCCAGAGGATGAGATGTGCAGCAGAGGAAAGGAGTCAGGTGAGGAAGAAGGCATGAGAGCAGCCGAAGAGGTGAGGCTGCTTGACGGAGGAGCCAGAGGTGAGAAGGTTGCTGATCTTCTATGCCGACGTGGCAGCCTGCTGAACTTTGGTCTGGCTATGAGCTGGATGATCTTCGAAGGAAGACAGAGCCAACTCAGCCACTCGTGGTTATGGGGAAAAGTTGCAGCTTTGAGTGAACGGGTCGTGCGTGGGCAGCAGCTAGGCGATCGGAGCCTGTACCCTTTTCCCCATGTGTGGCATCGGCTAGCTGTAAAACTTAGGGGTGCTTTGCTTGAAGATGTTTTCATGGAGAGCTTTTGGAGCATGGATGACTATGTTGATGGTTGGGTTCTTGCATCTGTTAAGTTTTGCCAGCTTTTGCACGGAGGTCACCCTGGGTTTGGTCTAGGAGCAGCTAAGAAGGTGCATTGGTCCCCGCTTTAGGGAGTGTGGCAAAGAGAGTGAAAGAGATCCTTGATGAGTGGAAGCCTGGCCTCGTTTGGACCCCGGAACATATTAAGGAGGACTTTGCAAAGCGAGACATAGGCTATGCAGGAGAAGAGGTAGGAAAAGTTGAGAAGTTGAGTAAGGCCCAAATTCTCCCTTCTTTGCCCCCGGTTGGACGGGGGGGTTCAGTGCGCTTGATCGACTGGGTGAGCCCCAGCACAAAGCGACTCTTGGAAGAACCTTCCCTCAGCGAGATTGAGGACAGTGGTCAAGTCATCCCACGACTCGTTGGCCGGGTACACATCCAAGAGGGTCAGCAGTTGGAGGTTGCTAGGCTGTTAGTAGAGAGGGGAATTTGTGCTTGGTACCCTGAGGCTGAGATCCATAGATTCCGTAATTCTTATGTGAAGAACGGTATGTTTGGAGTGGTGAAACCAGGAAAGGCCATAAACGGAGTTGAGACCCTGAGAGTCATCATGAACCTGATCCCTAGCAACAGCATCCACAATGTCATACGGGGG